TATCGAAATCACCATGGACAAAACCGAGGTTCAAATCCCTAGTGGCGACCTCAGACTGAAGTCGTAGCCGTTAGGTAGGAAGCGGTTTTCAGCCACTCTATATATCTTTCCGCGGGTTTGGACTGCCCCTATACCCGCCCCAGGCTAGTTAAGTCTACAGCATTAGAATAGTATGGAATAAAACGGGTTTAAGTTAAATCGTTAGTATCAAACAGATCCCTCCAACTAGTCGGATGACAAATCGTGTCATGTCCGGAGGCTTTTGTATAAATACTATAAAATAACTACTAAACTATAAATCAAACTATAATCACCTCCGATCGGCAAAAACAAAGAAGATGCAGTTAATTTTATTATGCATTTATAATGCAAACTGTCACCACACGCGAATGACGTCAACATGATAAATGAACGGGGAAGATGAACTTGCGTGTTTATTTTTGCATGCCTGTATAAACAGACTTCTTACTACAAAAAATGTCTAAAATGAAATAAAATTTTCAGCAAATTTTGTAAAATCTTTACATAGTAAGTATACAGTTAAGTCGCTGTTGCTGCTCTTCACTTACATCTTTTAACTACGCTACGGATTTTAATGCAGTTTTTAGCTATATGTAGATCGAGTGATTCAAGAGGAAGGTTTGTATGTATAATATGTGTACATTATACATGTACATTATATGATGAAGACAGCCGAGAAATTGAATTTGTAATGTGATGTCGTAACAAACATATTGTACAGTTGCATAAAAATTCTGTAGTTTAGTTTGCATCCATCTATCCACACTCATAAGCATCCGTGTTTATAATATTAGTAAGTGTTTGTATAACTAATAACTGGTATTATTTATTACATTTAAATTATATTATGAAAAATCACTTAATGTGACAGTGTCATTATATGTAAATGAATAAATAAATTTATTTAAATAACAGATTTATTAACACTTGTCCTGCAGGCAGAATATGAAAATCAATGTTGAAATACTTAAAGCAAAATTAACAGTTACACAATGTTTAGGTAATTACAAAAATACTACGGGTGTAAATAGCAGAATCAATATACTGTATTATATTATTTTACTTATTGATTTTATATCATTTTATTCTTACAGTCGCTGCTTATAAATGACTACATAAATTTTTAAATCCAAATCCATATGTTAATAAAATATAAGTAAATGCAAATGCGCTCATATAAGATAGTGCCGAATTCAGGTCACGTGCTCAGTCTAAAAACTGGTTGATTATGTGAATTTTAATAACAGACTTTATATCCGTTGGTTATTGTATGTAATAATCGTGGTAGACTTTGAACAGAGTCATCTGCGTGGGTACCTCTGTCTCACCTAGTTTTACCGCTAAGCCACTAGTCACTTGCTTTGTAAATTGTGTTAATGTTTGGACAGCAAGGAATGTCAGTAAACAGGGTACAATGTTCATCATTGCCTAGCCTTTATCCCATTATTTGGGATCGGCGCAGTATGTCTTTCTCTTCCACTGCTCTCTATCGGTCGTCATAAAAAGAAAATAAGACATGTAGGACATTTTAGCCGCTTATGAACTTCAAATTTCTTATATTATATTGTTTTCCTTAACGTCCAGTTCAGTATATAGATCCAATTGAGAAGAACTGGCAAGAAACTCAATTGAATATTTTTTTTAAAAGCCAGTTTATTTACAATGTATATATAGCATGTAATATTATATTATCTGTGATATAGGTGTCTATGTCTAACATTAAATGAAAATCCCGTGAACTATTGCCATGCAGTTAAATTGTAGAACATTCTTCTACTCAAAGTAATGTGATAAATATAAACCTTTTGTCCTAATTCAAATGTTTTTGACATCTATTACAAAGTGCAAGTGATAACTAAATCAAAGTACAAAATATATTACTAATGTACAATATACATTATATGTATATTATCTGTTTGCATAACATTTGCATAAACCATATAATTCCGAAATAAGATAAACTGACAGTGATATGTACGAATTTGATATGCTTTGTACAGCTAACGCTGTATCAGTGTTATTGACAATATATTGCAACTGTTAAATCGTACAAATATTTAAACAAACATTATAATTTAATAATAAAATTATACATATACAGACCTAATAATAATCTTAATTCATAAAATGATCGCAAATTTACTTTAAGTTATTATAAAATATATACATTTCGCATTCTTTATATATGCAAATCAATCTCGGAAAGCGATTTATTGTTGTATCTTTGTAAATTCTAATATGGTTTTACTGTTTAATTCTAGGACCATTGAAATAAAGTTGGTATGTATCCCACTTATATTTGTTGATTTTTCAAGCTGTAGTATATTTGAATTTCTACTATCGCTTTATCGCTTTAGTTTTTTATAAACTACTTATTTAGTTTTTATGTTTCTGATATTATCATAATTTCGTATTACCCTCATTAAAATTATTCTTTAAACAAATAATAAGTATGACAAAATTCTTATCGCAGATCAGAAGACATTCTATTACAATAAAGAACTTTACGTATTTACGAATTAATATACGTAATATGAGTGGAGTGGTAGTCGTGTATATTTGGTATAATGACTAACAAGAATATCTGCGTGTGTGGTTGATTGCAATCTCTCACTTAGCGTTAATTAAACTGCCACTATATACAGAATTACTTAATAAAAAATTAAGTGACGGGTTACTTAGTAATGTTGGTAACAAATTGATTAGTACCACACGAAGTTATCAAATTATACTTAATGAATAAAGAAATCATCATTACTTCTTCTCTTTCTTATATTAAAACTGCAAACAAACATTGGCGAATATTGAAGGGAGGAGGAGTTTTGCTAAAATATGCATTGATTATAATTAATGTAGATGGTTAAAACTTAATAATGTGACGTAAAATTGAATTTGTGCATCTTATGATAACTTTCAATCTTTTTTTATTCTTTCTTTTTCATTCTACTTTAAGTTTTCTGATACAGACAGTATTTTTGTTAGGATCTCTTTCCTGCAAGATAACGGCAACAAAGAAGTATAGAAAACGGGATATAAATTGTTAAATATTGTGTTCTGCATTGCAAAGTAGTCGAGAAGTGTCATTCAGTTTTCATAAAATTGACTCAACATTTTTTTTTAATACCATAGGGTATTCAAAAAAATGTGAGGAATAGACTTAACTTTCGCATGTTTTCTTTTGCTTTATTTAGGTCACAAGTATACTTCATCGATAAAAACATTTCTGCAAATATACATAACTGATACCATTAAAGATATTCCTGTTTTAATGAATCTGTACGGAAAATTTTGTCGTGACATACTAATTCAATTACCCAAATTAGTACCTCATGATTTCCGTAAGTTATAATAATATGCCCAATTCACTGATATAAGCAATTTAAATTGACAGTATCTAGATAATGTAAATAATTTAAGTAAAAATAACGGAAAATCAACAAAATTGCTGAAGTTTCTGCATAATTTTGTTCATAATTAAGTATAAGGTAAGGCCATTGTAATTTACAGGTTCAAATTGCCAAAAGGGACTAAAAGATTATTACGATTACATATTCCATTGCTGGTATTTGTAGGTACTTACAGTTAGGTAAAATAGATCGAAATATGATATTTGTAATGTATTTAGGTAGAGAAAATATAATTTGAAACACAAATATTGTCATTAGATTATTTTTATAAACTAACGCATTTTTAAGCTATTTATAAAGTTATGTATTTGACTTATTTTCTCTGCAAATATCATTTAAACAATGTAATATCTGCACCAATTTAGATGCTATTCTTGCAAGCGTATTCTTTCGTATACAATAGATATTATTATTCTATAACTTTTCTTATGTGGATCAATTTTTACAATTTTTATCCGAAAAAACTAAACGCGCACAATTTAGCAAGCCCTCCTACATTATGTATTAAGACTATCATTACTAAGTTCCGACCAAGTAGCTAATTTGGAATGTTTAATAAATGAACATTATTGCACTGTATATAAACATGCACTTACTGTAATCTAGTATACATTTACGCATCAGACTTCACTGTTAGATAAGACGCTCCGTGAGAACAGCCACTTTCACCCACACCACAACTTTTTACTGGATCCAGAACAGTTCAATTGTTCTCGCACCACCACTCGCAGGTTGTATAACGTTCGATTTAATTGTCACTTCTGCTCATTGTCTCCGCATTTTCCTAACGTCTTCGTGATCCGTTTCGATTTTCACTGGTAGCTTGTAATTATGATGGTATCATATGGGAATGTAGGTCTCCATGATACACAGATTTTTCAACGATGAATGTGAATAGGAAATTAAAGAAAATCTTGCAATTCTAAAACTAAACCATGCTAAGCACAATGGCAATAAGGCCCATTATCTTTTATTTCTTTATTGGTTTTGTAATGTTATTATGATTCCCGAATAGTTGGGAATCATATTTGATATTTCCTTAAATATTTTTTTGGAGATGTATATATTGAATCTATTTAAAGTTTATGTTACGTTTGCTTAATAGGTTTTCTATCTTGTATTGCTCTAATATTTGTTTGAATATTTTTTTTATTTACTAGAATTTTATTTTTCAATCAATTAAACTGTACTAGTATATACTAAGAGTCTTAGTGATAAATATAGCAGCATAAATAGTTTAAGACAGATAATTATTAACCAAAGAATTTAGAACTATAACAAGTTATATAAGAATAGTAACGAAGTCATTTGAATTTCATTTGGCATTTGAAATAATGAGTTTGATGGCTAATAAGCTTAGATTATGGATAATCTTAGGTCCTCAATGTTAAATATTATATAAACTTTTAAAGCAACTGTGACCGACAGTGATGTATGGAACAATTTATTTACATTGTTCATTTTTCATGTTATTGGGTCAAGGTCAATAGCATACTCTAAATGACTGTCATTATTAAGTACAAGGTTCAAAAGCATAAAGATCGTAAGCAATTTTAGTAAATTTGGACTTACCGAGTTCAACTCCTCGTAGTCAACTCCATGAGGTTGCGACTCGTTTGTCAAAGCTTTCCACACTTTGAGTCCATCTTTCTTAAATAAACCCTCTTGTTTCTTCAACACTAAACTCAACTGTTTCCCGAATGCCTCTAAATCTATCCTATGAACACCGTCTTCTTGATCTGTCACTATATGCTCCTTATCACCATTCTCACTATTACTACCACTAAATTCACTATCACTAATTTCACTAGAATTTGTTACACCGAATTCAACGCTCACTGTATTATTGAGGTCACCAATTATATCAACATCTTTGATGTACTGTTTTGCTCTAACGAACATCTCATCGTTTAAGAGAGACGGTGGGTTTGCTATCTTCGTTGGACGTTCATTTGTAGTCTTTTCGTGGGGGATTTTACTAGAATTTGGGGAGTAAGTGTTAGCAGCGTGACCTGTTGTTATATGCCGCCTTGATAAGTGGTGTGTTAGATGTACTAAATGGTATTGTGGAACTAAACTGTGATGATCCACGTGGAATACGTTTCGTAGCTCGTCGGGTGTCATGTGCTCGTGAATCTGGAAAGAGGAAAAAACTTGTTGTAATTACAATTGTCAATGTTGCAATTTGTAATTTCTTATATCAATTATATCTAACATAAAACAATTTTAAAAGTGTCTTGTTTAAAAAACTGTAAAATTATTGTACATAATCTGTTTAAAACTTAAATAGATTATCAATCGGTTACTGAATCGAAAGCTCTGTCTGAATCTAAAAATCTGTTAAAAACTAAACGTACAATTATATGCTATAATGAGACGTTGATAAATAATAATACGCATTTTAATTAAGAATGTAGCACTAGATTTATTTTCATTTAATCCGGTTTGATTACAAATATATAACAAATAATTTCTTTGGAACTCCAATTCATTACTAGACTATACTGTAAATTATATTAATATTAAAATACAAATTATATTTTACTAATGGATCTACGAGTTTGTAGCACGGCGACTCTATCAATGATATCGATGTAGCCAAACCCAAAAAAATATAGTCAATATTATCATTCTACCATTATTTTTAATGTCAAAAATTTGTAAATTTAATACTACTAATTTAATTTTATGAGTGATAAAACAACTTCATTTAGCCACATATGTTACCACGCAAAATTCTACTGTCAAATATTTTAGACGAAAAATTAAGTAGACATTTAGATATTTGTTACGTAATTTCACTAAAATAGCTGAATATTTCGGATTGAACTTTGCATATATCATTCATCATTCATTAATAATATAGACTTTGTAATTGTTAAGTTTTTTTGTGGTAAGGCCACGGATGTAAATTTTAAAATAAAATCAGAATAGAGAGCGAAGATGTCAAATGAGTGAATTAAATATGGCTGTTTCTGACTTAGGGTCAGTTCCATATGAGATCCATACCCTAAAGCCTATTATTGTTAGAAATATAATTAATAAATTTAAATTATCCTAGTTTCTCCCGTTAAGAAACGAGGATAAATAATAAATATCCCCAATAAACAATAATTGATAACCTAGGTAAATTTAGACTTTATATACAACTAGCTTTTGCCCGCGGCTTCGCTCGCGTTAATTTATCCCCTTAGTATCAAAATCCTTTCTTAGAGGATGCCTACGTCATAGTAGCTTTATGCATGCAAAGTCTCAGCCCGATCGGTTTAAAATTGAGAAAGTTTCATACAAATTTTCATCCCATATTTTATCCCCTTGGGGGTAGAATTAATCAAAATCCTTTATTAGCGGATGCCTACGTCATAACATCTATCTGCATGCCAAATTTCAACCCGATCCGTCCAGTGGTTTGGGCTGTGCATTGATAGATCACTACGTCAGTCACCTTTGAGTTATATATGTTTAGAAGTCTCGTGGAAACTTTTTTATCATCTATTTTAGCCACCAAGCAGCTATTTCGAGAGATAGATGATGAGATATGGCAGTGAAATTACAGGTTAAACAGGCATAATTACTTAATCTTCTGGAATGGCAGCAAAAGTTATTATGGACATCACACGATGACGTGATGACCGAAACCTTATTGATATATGTAGATGACAGTTTTCACCAGTCAGCTTATTTGTCATTCTATTTACATAAAAAAAAACAATAATAGAAAAAATCAAATTATCCATGTAGAGTCAACTAAAGTTGGATATTGTTTGAGAAGTTTTTTTTTAATATTTTTTGTTACATACTATGTCTATAACTGTTCACAGCGACATATACATCCGTATTCGCACCATTTTGTTTGAATGTCAACGGCTAAAGTCGAAAACCTTGGGTGAGGTCAATGTTGTTTCACAGCCGTTCCTTTCTCGATATATTTCCATATCTGGTGTAACAATACGTCTTCACGACTCAGGTGATCAGTATCGTCAGATATTTCGTAAAAGCCTATGAGAGGATGGATTGCATATTTCCAGGCAACTTTTAAAAGAAGAACGTTTATATTCCTTTGACAACCTCGGTGGTCTAGCGGTTCAGCATTCTACTTTACGTCCGATGGTCGCGGGTTCGATTCCTTGCATGGTACAAACATTTGTATTTATGAGTATGATTGTTTGTATCGGTCTGGGTGTTTTCTAGGTATAATATATATGGATTTACAAAATAAAGTTATCTATGTATATGAGTTGTCTAATACCCATAACACAAACTCTGTTTACCTTGGCACTAGATGGCGCTATGTGTCTGTGTATATGTATATATGTGTATATTTCACTGTAATTTTCTGTTTGTTGAGATTTATTCCTGAATTACTTTAAAAGAAGAAGAATGGATCTCAATTTGACTATTCAATTTTTTTACGTAAACAGTATTTGAATCAAATTTAAATCAAAATTAATTTTTTTAGAAACAAATATTTAATAATTCAAGTCTGCTTGAAAATTGTCACTGATCTCTAATCATAGGCATCAACATTCCTACGGAACCGGAAGTGAGTACGTAGGTCATCAACATTATCGATTAGGACAGAGGATTATTGTTAAGTTGCTCGAGCAAGTTGCTAGCCTCGCTCGACTGAACTACTTATTATGTAATGTACTTTGTTACATTAAAAGTAGTGGGTGAGAAAGTATTATATTCATAAAGAGATTTGATATACTGAGATATATTCGAAGATATATTTTAGTTTATTAGTGTTGTTTAACTGATCGACAATTTGTTACCACATGTATTCTATTGTTATACGTTTGACAGTTTATTAATGAAACACTTAATAATGTTGTATTAACTAATGTCGATAAATCGATAGATAAAAATATAATAATAAACAATTTATCCATATGTCGAGATTTTAAATTTAAAAAGACATTAAGGTTGAAGTTGCGAAACAATAAGGTTTTATATATACCAGCATTGTGTTTATGTATTCGCTTGCATGTAGTTATATATAGGTAAAATTGCCCATTAATAAAATAAATTTATTTACGTGCTAACGACAAGATTGCATTGCCATACTGAAACACAATGAATCTTGTCTAAAACCATTTTTGCACTATAATTTTATATGTACATCCCTATTTTTAGAGCAAAAACAATGCCTTCCTGTCAATATTATTTCTTCACATTTAATTTACTAAGTAGGTACAAGGAAATTAGTATTAATTTCTAGTGGCATTAAGAAAATATTTCATTGATGGTTCTACTGGGTAGGTCTTCAAGAATAAAATTTCATACATGCCTTATTGCACGTAAATCACTTATGATAAAATGAAAATGAAAGATTTCAGAAATATAATAATATAAAATCGATACGGAAATATGTTCAATTCGTGAATTGCTTCGACTCTCGATCGTTTTCCGGGTTTTTGTTGCATCGAACAATGCACATTTCAATATGCGATAATTAAAATTGGACAGAATGTTGTATGTCAATTAAATTTACTATTGTTTGCTACACGCTTAATTACATTCAGATTATAAACAGCTTAAAGCATTTTACCTTACATTGTTTTGTTAATCTCGTACCATTCACTTTGACGTGTTAGTGTATAACACCATCAATGAAATATTTACTTAATGCCACTAGAAATTAATGCTAATTTCCCGTGTCAGTTTTTTGCATAAACATGAAAGTACTCAACAATGAACTTAATTAAAAATATGCTAAGGTTACAATTCCACTAATTGTTTTCAAATGTAAGGGCAGAGACAGAATGTTGCAAAACAAGCGCAATCAGATTTCAACGGTAATGAAATAATGACTCACGAACGTCTAAAAGAATCGGAACTAAATGTTGAAGGTTGCTCTAGAAAGTTATTTTTATGTAAATGGAATGGCAAACAGCCGACACACTGGGTCAAAATGAAAATTTAAAAAAGGGATATTGAATTTTTTTCATAGTACATGAACATTTTGTTCTATAAAAACCATTTTTGGGGTGGAATCATAGATCATAGAATAGATAAAACTTAGGTTATTTCAAACATGGATTGACTAAGTTTTTAAAGCAAATGAACATAATGTCTTGCATTCCATAAAATAAAAACAGAAATTATTTTTTAAATTGTGCAAATATTACTTTTAAAAAAAAATTTTTTGATAATAGTTTAGAATGTGGGTAATGAGTATAATTACCTTAACAATATTTAAAAATGCAATGTCATTTTTTTTCTTTTTCGTCTAAATATACGACGGCGTGCGTAATGGAAACTAGCAACCTTCACGTATATATATGAACTGCACCAAAGACAATAAGTCGTCAAGTTACGCCGGTAATAAGGGTTACCCTTATTCATTGTCTAAGGACTACGGTGCCGTCTCTACCCTATAGTTTGATACCAACCGAAACACAGTTTACAAAGCAAGTTCTTCGGCGGCATGATATGAAGTGTGAAATGAGACCTAAAACAATACATGCTACCGCTATAAACGATAGGCACACAAAAGACATAAAACACAACCAAGTTACTAAGAAAAAACCGTGTATTGTATAAAATAAGTCAATATTATATATCTATCTAACACAATAAGTAAACCCCATAAGTGGTGTCCTTCGTTGTTCAAATAAAACACTATAAATATACAAATTTACCTTGTCCGCAGGCGTCGTAGCGTGTAGACGTAACTATGCAAACAACTTTATAATATAGTGCCTAATAGACTATGCTATACACGTTAGCGAATTATAGATAACTAAATTATCCCTTCAAATCACTCGGCGCTGTACGCGTAACATATATATATTACTCGACTTTATAAAATTTAAGGCAGACCTTAAAAATCGTCTGCGTAGATACCTCAGCCTTACTTATTTTAGCCATAAATATAATTGTGCTTCGATTAATGAGATATAAAGCAGAAATAAATAAATATGATGCGAGTGTCTAAATACATGTAAATAATAATAATAAATCTATTTGAGATATATAACAAAATTAAAATAATGGTATAATTGATATCTTTCGTAACTAATTTCTTAATATTATAGAGTATTTACATTACGAAATTAATTTAATGTATGATGCATAAACCAGTTTCGTAAAATGTAAATTAGGCATCACATTCGACGAAAAGACAAGACACC